TAGTGGTGGGTGTAGTGATGTTTGTAGTGTTGTAGTGGTGGGTGTAGTGATGTGTATAGTGTTGTAGTGGTGGGTGTAGTGATGTGTGCAGTGTTGCAGTAGTGTGTGTAGTGATGTGTGTGTGTGTACTCACCTATTTGTGGTTGCAGGGGTCGAGTCTTAGCTCCTGGCCCCGCCTCTTCACCGGTTGCTACTGGGCCCTCTCTCTCCCCGCTCCATGAGCTTTATCAAACCTCGTCTTAAAACTGTGTATGGTTCCTGCCTCCACTACGTCATTTTCTAGGCTATTCCACTGCCTTACAACTCTATGACTGAAGAAATACTTCCTAATATCTCTCTGACTCATTTGTGTCTTCAACTTCCAATTGTGGCCTCTTGTTTCTGTGTCCCCTCCCTGGAACATCCTGTCTTTGTCCACCTTGTCTATTCCACACAGTATTTTATATGTCGTTATCATGTCTCCCCTGACTCTCCTGTCCTCCAGTGTCGTCAGGCCGATTTCCCTTAATCTTTCTTCATAGGCATTCCCTTAGCTCTGGAACTAACCTTGTGGCAAAACCTTTGTACTTTCTCTAGTTTCTTGACGTGCTTTATCAAGTGCGGGTTCAAACAGGTGCTGCATACTCCAGTATGGGCCTGACATACACGGTGTACAGTGTCTTGAACGATTCCTTACTAAGGTATCGGAATGCTGTTCTCAGGTTTGCCAGGCGCCCATATGCTGCAGCAGTTATCTGATTGATGTGTGCTTCTGGAGACATGCTCGGTGTTATACTCACCCCAAGATCTTTCTCCTTGAGTGAGGTTTGCAGTCTTTGGCCACCTAGCCTATACTCTGTCTGTGGTCTTCTGTGCCCTTCCCCTATCTTCATGACTTTGCATTTGGCAGGATTAAATTCGAGAAGCCATTTGCTGGACCAGGTGTCCAGTCTGTCCAGGTCTCTTTGAAGTCCTGCCTGGTCCTCATCAGATTTAATTCTCCTCATTAACTTCACATCATCTGCTAACAGGGACACTTCTGAGTCTAACCCTTCCATCATGTTGTTCACATATACCAAAAATAGCACTGGTCCTAGGACCGACCACTGTGGGACCCCGCTCGTCACAGGTGCCCACTGTGATACATCATTACGTACCATGACTCGTTGTTGCCTCCCTGTCAGGTATTCTCTGATCCATTGCAGTGCCCTTCCTGTTATATGCGCCTGATGCTCTAGCTTCTGCACTAATCTCTTGTGAGGAACTGTGTCAAAGGCCTTCTTGCAGTCCAAGAAGATGCAATCAACCCACCCCTCTCTCTCGTGTCGTACTTCTGTTATTTTATCATAAAACTCCAGAAGGTTTGTGACACAGGATTTGCCTTCCGTGAATCCGTGCTGGTTGGCATTTATACTCTTGTTCCGTTCTAGGTGCTCCACCACTCTCCTGATAATCTTCTCCATAATTTTGCATACTATACACGTCAATGACACAGGTCTATAGTTTAGTGCCTCTTTTCTGTCTCCTTTTTTAAAAATGGGAACTACATTTGCCGTCTTTCATACCTCAGGTAGTTGCCCAGTTTCCAGGGACGTGTTGAAGATTGTGGTAAGTGGCACGCACAACATATCTGCTCCCTCTCTAAGGACCCACGGGGAGATGTTGTCCGGTCCCATGCCTTTGAGGTATCGATGTCCCTTAGCAGTTTCTTCACCTCCTCCTCGTCTGTATGTATGTCGTCCAACACTTGTTGGTGTATTCCTTGCTGGTGTCCCCATCTGGTCTGTCCCCCCAGAGTCCTTCCTGTCTCTACTGTAAATACTTCCTTAAATCTCGTTTTGAGCTCCTCACATACCTCTTGATCGTTTCTTGTGAGTTCTCCACCTTCTTTCCTCAGCCTTATCACCTGGTCCTTGACTGTTGTCTTCCTCCTAATGTGGCTATACAGCAGTTTCGGGTCAGATTTGACTTTCGATGCTATGTCGTTTTCATACTGTCGCTGGGCCTCCCTCCTTATCCGTGCATACTCGTTTCTGGCTCTTCTACTAATCTCCTTGTTTTCCTGGGTCCTATGCCTCCTGTACCTTTTCCATTCTCTGTTGCACTTAGTTTTTGCCTCCCTACACCTTCGGGTAAACCAAGGACTCGTTTTGGTCTTCCTATTATTTCTGTTTCCCTTGGGGAACAAAACTTTCCTCTGCCTCCTTGCACTTTGTTGCCACATATTCCATCATCTCGTTTACTGATTTTCCTACCATTTCTCTGTCCCACTGAACCTCCTGCAGGAAGTTTCTCATACCTGTGTAGTCCCCTTTTATAGTTTGGCCTGTCCCCTTCAGTTCCTGTTACCTTCTCCACTTGTAACTCTACTATATAATCAAAACTCAGAACCACGTGATCGCTAGCTCCAAGGGGCCTCTCGTAAGTGATGTCCTCAATGTCTGAACTGCTCAGGGTGAACACAAGATCCAGTCTTGCTGGCTCATCCTCCCCTCTCTCTCTGGTTGTGTCCCTGACATGTTGATGCATGAGTTTTTCAAGTACCACATCCATCATCTTGGCTCTCCATGTTTCGGGACCCCCATGTAGCTCCAGGTTTTCCCAGTCGATCTCCCTGTGGTTGAAATCGCCCATTACCAGTAACTTTGCTCTGCTCGAGTGAGCTCTTCTTGCCACCTCAGCCAGTGTGTCCACCATCACCCTGTTGTTTTCTTCGTACTCCTCTCTTGGCCTCCTGCAGTTCTGTGGTGGGTTATACATCACTCCAATGACTACTTTATGTTCTCCGGACTGAATTGTACCTACAATGTAGTCTCTTTCTCCAATCATGTCCATGCCTTCCATTTCCTCAAATCCCCATCGGTGTTTTATGAGCAGTGCAACCCCTCCTCCCCCTCTACTCCTTCTATCTTTCCTCAGGATCTGATATCCCGTTGGGAAGATTGTGTCTGTTATTGTCTCAGCGAGTTTTGTTTCTGTGACTGCTATGATGTCTGGGGATTTTTCACTGATTCTTTCATTCCACTCCTCATGTTTATTCGTTATTCCATCCGTGTGTGTGTGTGTGTGTGTGTGTGTGTGTGTGTGTGTGTGTGTGTGTTGTATGTAGTATTGTAGTGATGTGTGAGTGTAGTAGTGATGTGTGTAATAGTGATGTGTGTAATAGTGATGTGTGTAGTAGTGATGTGTGATTGAGTTGGGAGCTGTTTGAAATTCAAGGTACCACTGTATATACCTTTATAGTATACAGGGTTCAATGCCCCCACAGCCCAATCTGTGACCAGGCCTTATGGTGGATCAGGGCCTGATCAACCAGGCTGTAACTATTGGTCACACATAAACCGACATACAAACCACAGCTCGGTTGGTCAGGTACTGACTTTAGGTGCCCATCCAGTGCCTTCTTGAAGACAGTCAGGGGTCTATTGGTGATCCCCCCTTATGTATGCTGGGAGGTAGTGAACAGTTTTTGGCCCCTGACACTTATTGTGCTGTCTCAACATACTTGTTGCTGCCCTGCTTTTCACTGGGAAGATGTTGCATCTCCTGCAGTCTTTTGCTTTCGTAGACAGTGATTTTCATGTGTATATTTAGGACTAGACCCTTTAGGATTTTCCAAGCAGTTCAGGTCAAGGGACTTTAACTATTTGCAGTAATTCAAGTTTTATACTGTACTTACATGTGCAGTGAAAGTTCACCGTATATTCTCCATTTCTGCAATTTTGCCTTCCTTGAATGGGACCATTAGTGTAGAGCAGTACTCCAGTCTAAAGAGAACAAGAGATGTGAGAAGAATCATTGGCTTGGCATCCGTAGTTCTGAAGGTTCTCATTATCCATCCTTTTATTTTCCTAGCAGACATTGTTGTGATCTTTGAAAGTGAGATTCTCTGACATTATCACTTGCAGGTTCTTCACATTAGATTTCCGCTCTATTGTGTAGCTGAAATTTGTTTTATACCCAATCCAGTTTTTATTTCCTCGAATTTTCCATAACAGAATAATTGAAATTTGCCCTCAATGAACATATTGTTTTCTTCAGCCCATTTAAAGACTTGGTTAATGTCCACTTGAAGATTTGCAGTGTCAGTTGTGACTCGTGAAAAATTTCCCGGTATCAGCAAGGAGGAAGGGTGTGTGGCTTACATTAAATATCAAAATTGAAGGTGAGGAAAGGATGGGGTGAGTACCATCCTTGTAGAACAGAATTTTTCACTGGCTATTTAGCGGGGTTTTCGCAGTGTGGTAAGAAGCTTTCTTTTTCAAAAAAACCTTGGTCTTTAGTGAAAGATATATTCGGGTAAATGTTAAACCAGAAAATTCTAACACATTATTCTGTTTTGTTATTGGGATGCTTTTGAGGTTTCCCTTTGGATGTGCTCTTGGTATGGTATGTTGTAAACTTTACACAAAAAAACAGATAAACCATGTTCTTACGGGACGCTCACAAACGCCCCTGGCCTTATTTTTTCCCTTTCGTTTAATGGGCCCCCACTTTAAAAGATAATTGTACAACTGTTCATGTTGTGACTTATCCTGCCAATATTTCAGTTGTCCACTGACACATAACTGTTCAAAAACACAAGCCTACAAAAACATTAAGATGGGATTTCTGAGGTGTCCCACTTGGGATGCTAGGCCCGCATAGTTTTTGTCTCAAAGCAAACCTACAAGGGATGGACTCTGAATTACGCTGGTGCCTTCCACCCTGCATAATTACGAGCACTCTATTTATTCATTGTGCTCTGGGGAGGATAATTTTGGTTTTTGGATTTTTAATCTTTAAGGTAGTTTTCTAATTTTCCGTTACACAAAAATTTCCCTTGCCTTTGAAACGTGGTTTATTACAAGAATAATTACTAGAATCTTGTTCTCCAATTGCAGACTTAGAACTTCTACATCATTTGATAAATTCAACAGTTCTGTGCAGCAAAATATGTCTTTCACATAGTCCTACTCCTCTCTGTGATTTATTTACTCCCTCACATACATAAATGCTACTTCTTCACTCTCAGTACTCACCTGTCATTTTCTTCCTGTCCAGTTCAATCCTCAATAACCAGGGAGAAATCCTGGAGACATCAAAGTCTGGCATCTCGTAGTAGACATTGACAAACTCCTGGTCTTCAGCCACCACGGTATTCTGAGGGTCCGGGTCATAGTAGATAGCTGTGTTGGACGTCACCTGCAAGTACAATGCTATAGAAAGAAGTCAAAAGAAAACACAGTACAGTATTAAAGAGTTAAAAAAATACTCCAGGGAAGGTCTTAATAGGACTGCGCTCCGAAATGAGGTGAGGATAACAGCTTGTAGCCAATAAACTCAACCGCATAAATAAAATGTATACAGTAATTCAGTTTAAAGTTACCTAACCTGAAATAGACAATACCATGTTCTGTGATATTTTTACACAGCTGGATATATTAGCAAAGAGGTATTAACCTCAGTTCATTGCAAAGCAAGTATTTAGGTACTAAATTAAGTAAAGTCAGTCGATTTACACTTTGCTAGTTCTAATGGATTTACCTCTGAGAGAACTTGTACTGTGTTAACAAGCTTTGTGAGACTCATAATTTATATCACTACACTGCTATCAATATTTCTCACTACACAGGAAAGAATGTGAAAGCCAACAAAAACCTTGATGAATACAAGTATTTTGTTTTAGCAAAGTAATTAGGTTATATCAGTGGCAAGTCCCTGGGATTCCTAGAAAAAAAAATGTATGCATAGCAAAAACAGACCTTTGTTTATCGTATGTGAAATTGTAATATATAAAATAACTGCAATATTTGTACAGATGTTCCCAGTTGGGTTTAATAAGTTTCTTTGTGACCTTTGTAATCCTGTTCTTTTCATGATACCGTTAACAACATGAGTACAAGGTACATAATTAACTAGTCGATAAGAAGGCACAATTAAAACTTCTTTCCTGTCTAGACCCCAAAAACCCACATTACCCAGGACTCACTCTACCCAAAACCCAGCCTAATTAACACCCATTCCATCCAACATCAAGTGCACCCAACATCCAGTGCACCCAACATCCAGTGCACCCAACATCCAGTGTACCCAACAGCCAGCCTACCCAACACCCACTCTACCCAGCACCCAGTCTACTCAACACCCAGCCTACTCAACACCCAGCCTACTCAACACCCAGCCTACCCAAGACCCACTCTACCCAACACCCAGTCTACTCAACACCCAGCCTACCCAAGACCCACTCTACCCAACACCCAGTCTACTCAACACCCAGCCTACCCAACACCCAGCCTACCCAACATCCAGTCTACCCAACACCCAGCCTACCCAACACCCAGCCTACCCAACACCTAGTTTACTCAACACCTATTCTACCCAACACCCAGTCTAACCCAACTCCCAGCCTACCCAACACCCAGTCTACCCAACACCCAGTCTACCCAACACCCAGTCTTCCCAATATCCAGCCTACCCAACATCTAGTCTACCCAACACCCAGTCTACCCAACACCCAGTCTACCCAACTCCCAGCCTACCCAACACCCAGTCTGCCCAACACCCAGTCTACCCAATACCCAGTCTACCCAACACACATTCTACCCAAAATCCAGTCTACCCAAAATCCAGTCTACCCAACACCCAGTCTACCCAACACCCAGCCTACCCAACACCCAGTTTACCCAACACCAAGTCTACCCAACACCCAGCCTACCCAACACCCAATCTACCCAACATCCAGTCTACCCAACACCCAGCCTACCCAACACCCAGTTTACGCAACACCCAGTCTACCCAACACCCAGCCTACACAACACCCAATCTACCCAACATCCAGTCTACCCAACACCCAGCCTACCCAACACCCAGTCTACCCAACACCCAGTCTACCCAACACGAAGCCTACCCAACCCCCAATCTACCCACACCCAATCTACCTAACATACAGTCTACCTAACATACAGTCTACCCAACACCCAGTCTACCCAACACCCAGTCTACCCAACACCCAGTCTACCCAACACCCAGCCTACCCAACACCCAAGTCTACCCAACACCCAGTCTACCCAACACCCAATCTACCCAACACCCAATCTACCCAACATCCAGTCTACCCAACATCCAGTCTATGCAACACCCAGTCTACCCAATATCTAGTGTACTCAAAATCCAGTCTACCCAACACCCAATCTACCCAACACCCAGCCTACCCAAACCCAATCTACCTAACATCCAGTCTACCCAATACCCAGCCTACCCAACACCCAGCCTACCCAACACCCAGTCTACCCAACACCCAGCCTACCCAACACCCAATCTACCCAACATCCAGTTTACCCAACATCCAGTCTACCCAACATCCAGTCTACCCAACACCCAACCTACCCAACACCAAGTCTACCCAACACCCAGTCTACCCAACACCCAGTCTTCCCAACACCCAGCCTACCCAACACCAAATCTACCCAACATACAGTCTACCCAACACCCAGTCTACCCAACACCCAGCCTACCCAACACCCAATATACCCAACACCCAGTCTACCCAACACCCAGTCTACCCAACACCCAGTCTACCCAAAATCCAGTCTACCCTACATCTGGACTACATCTGGAGAGAGTTCCGGGGGTCAACGCCCCCGCGGCCCGGTCTCTGACCAGGCCTCCTGGTGGATCAGAGCCTGATCAACCAGGCTGTTACTGCTGGCTGCACGCAAACAAACGTACGAGCCACAGCCCGGCTGGTCAGGAACCGACTTTAGGTGCTTGTCCAGTGCCAGCTTGAAGACTGCCAGGGGTCTGTTGGTAATCCCCCTTATGTATGCTGGGAGGCAGTTGAACAGTCTCGGGCCCCTGACACTTATTGTATGGTCTCTTAACGTGCTAGTGACACCCCTGCTTTTCATTGGGGGGATGTTGCATCGTCTGCCAAGTCTCTTGCTTTCATAGTGAGTGATTTTCGTGTGCAAGTTCGGTACTAGTCCCTCTAGGATTTTCCAGGTGTATATGATCATGAATCTCTCCCGCCTGCGTTCCACGGAATACAGGTTTAGGAACCTCAAGCGCTCCCAGTAATTGAGGTGTTTTATCTCCGTTATGCGCGCCGTGAAGGTTCTCTGTACATTTTCTAGGTCAGCAATTTCACCTGCCTTGAAAGGTGCTGTTAGTGTGCAGCAATATTCCAGCCTAGATAGAACAAGTGACCTGAAAAGTGTCATCATGGGCTTGGCATCCCTAGTTTTGAATGTTCTCATTATCCATCCTGTCATTTTTCTAGCAGATGCGATTGATACAATGTTTTGGTCGTTGAAGGTGAGATCCTCCGACATGATCACTCCCAGGTCTTTGACGTTGGTGTTTCGCTCTATTTTGTGGCCAGAATTTGTTTTGTACTCTGATGAAGATTTAATTTCCTCATGTTTACCATATCTGAGAAATTGAAATTTCTCATCGTTGAACTTCATATTATTTTCTGCAGCCCACTGAAAGATTTGATTGATGTCCGCCTTGAGCCTTGCAGTGTCTGCAATGGAAGACACTGTCATGCAGATTCGGGTGTCATCTGCAAAGGAAGACACGATGCTGTGGCTGACATCCTTGTCTATGTCGGATATGAGGATGAGGAACAAGATGGGAGCGAGTACTGTGCCTTGTGGAACAGAGCTTTTCACCGTAGCTGCCTCAGACTTTACTCTGTTGACGACTACTCTCTGTGTTCTGTTAGTGAGGAAATTATAGATCCATCGACCGACTTTTCCTGTTATTCCTTTAGCACTCATTTTGTGCGCTATTACGCCATGGTCACACTTGTCGAAGGCTTTTACAAAGTCTGTGTATATTACATATGCATTCTTTTTGTCTTCTAGTGCATCTAGGACCTTGTCGTAGTGATCCAATAGTTGAGACAGACAGGAGCGACCTGTTCTAAACCCATGTTGCCCTGGGTTGTGTAACTGATGGGTTTCTAGATGGGTGGTGATCTTGCTTCTTAGGACCCTTTCAAAGATTTTTATGATATGGGATGTTAGTGCTATCGGTCTGTAGTTCTTTGCTGTTGCTTTACTGCCCCGTTTGTGGAGTGGGGCTATGTCTGTTGTTTTTAATAACTGTGGGACGACCCCCGTGTCCATGCTCCCTCTCCATAGGATGGAAAAGGCTCGTGATAGGGGCTTCTTGCAGTTCTTCATGAACACGGAGTTCCATGAGTCTGGCCCTGGGGCAGAGTGCATGGGCATGTCATTTATCGCCTGTTCGAAGTCATTTGGCGTCAGGATAACATCGGATAGGCTTGTGTTAACCAAATTCTGTGGCTCTCTCATAAAAAATTAATTTTGATCTTCGACTCTCAGTCTGGTTAGTGGCTTGCTAAAAACTGAGTCATATTGGGACTTGAGTAGCTCACTCATTTCCTTGCTGTCATCTGTGTAGGACCCATCTTGTTTAAGTAGGGGCCCAATACTGGACGTTGTTCTCGACTTTGATTTGGCATAGGAGAAGAAATACTTTGGGTTTCTTTCAATTTCATTTATGGCTTTTAGTTCTTCCCGCGATTCCTGACTCCTATAAGATTCCTTTAGCTTAAGTTCGATGCTTGCTATTTCTCTGACCAGTGTATCCCTACGCATTTCTGATATTTTGACCTCTTTTAGCCGCTCTGTTATTCTTTTCCGTTGCCTGTAAAGGGAGCGCCTGTCTCTTTCTATTTTACATCTGCTCCTCCTTTTTCTTAGAGGAATAAGCCTTGTGCATACATCGAGTGCCACCAAGTTAATCTGTTCTAGGCATAAGTTGGGGTCTGTGTTGCTTAGTATATCTTCCCAGCTTATATCGGTTAGGACTTGGTTTACTTGGTCCCACTTTATGTTTTTGTTGTTTAAGTTGAATTTGGTGAATGCTCCCTCATGACTAATCTCATTATGTCGGTCTGGGGCTCCACGCATACATGTCTGAACCTCAATTATGTTGTGATCTGAGTATATTGTTTTTGATATGGTGACATTTCTTATCAGATCATCATTGTTAGTGAAGATGAGGTCTGTGTATTCTCCAGTCTAGTAGGCTCTATTATTGTGGTTAAATTGAATTTTGTGCTGAGATTTAAAAGCTCGTGTGAGTGTGAGTTTTCATCAGAGCTGCTCCTGGTGTTATTACTGCAACAATTTTATTTGAAAATTTTCCTCATTTTAGGTGCCTTAAGTTGA